AAATGAACATCTGCCTCCAATAATCAACTGACTTCATTTGAACACATGATAATTGTAGAGACAAAACTCAACAGCATGAACTCATGCAAGGTAGTTAATCTTTCATCAAATCGATTAAAGGGTATATTTAAACCAGTTTTCATAGGATAAAGGATTTGGGGACCCTTTGTTTGAGATAAATTATAATCCATCATATTTAACGCCAGAAAAATATTATTGTTTTTGGCTGTTTCCAATTTTCTGCCAGTGTTAGGGAGGCAGCGTTTGAAACTATAGCTCGCAGCATTGCTTGAAATGATGTGGTTCAGTAATGGTGAGATGTAACTGAGAAACATTTTGACCATGGCCAACCTACCCACTCCATGTAGGCTTCAACTTTTCAGTTTCTTTTAAACATTAGCGTTTTGCTGGCACTCTGGGTCAGTTGGGGTCAGTTATTTTTTCATGCTGAAAATTTAAACAGACACTTGAAGCAGATTGAAATAACAGTCCACCTATGGGAATCCTATCTCATTGGAATACAACAGTCACAGAACAGGGATACAACCTCAAGGACACTGCAACAAGGTGGATGCCAACCCACATAGTAGCTGAAGTCTATGTAATGAGGTTGATGGATTTGTTCCTTAAAAACAAGGCCAGACTGTTCTCTTCTCACTGCCCATTGTAAAAGTACAAATGCAGTAGAACCTAACTTGTACAACTCTGTAGCTTTAGTTTGAGGAGAACAATGCAGTTGCACATTTTTAGGGCCCATACACGTGCCACTTCTTTTGTGCCAAAGTAAATGCCCAGAAGGCTTGCTCAAAAGCTAGAGTGACGGTGTCATTGGGTGTAAACGTTTCCAAGTGCCTACAGCTTTTGGAACACCACAACGTGCAGCGCATGTCACGTGAAGAGCCAACAATCACAGGTGGCAGATATATTTTCTTTCTTCCATAAATATCAATCTTACAAGAGCTTTACTATTTGTCCTACGGGCAACACTTTAGGCCTAATACACACCTGAAGAACAATGCCTGTAAAAAGATCCACCCCAAACGCAGGAATTCTGGTGAGTAGGTTCTGTTATGGTGCTAGCTATGGTCACTTAGCAACATCAGGTGCAACCTGCCTTCACGCCCTTGAAAGCTGGCACAGAGTAAGCACCTAGCACCAACCTCATGTTTTCCAGGCGGTAAAAGATGTGGCAGCTGTCCCGGCCCTTAGGATACAGGATCGAATGTCTTGTAAAAAAGGTATTCTATAATAACTTAATTGCACAAGATAAAAAATAAGCCATGTTTTCAGGCTTCTGATACTGCTGAAGCAAAGTAGCCTCTCATATAATGTAACAAACTTATAGTTTTTATGCTATGACCATCAGTTTGAATTATTGCGTGCTTTGTCCACCATTTTGTTGGGCTAACAATGGAGAGGAAGCCAGTGAGAGACGTGAATTGGAATGGTAGGAAATTCAAAACGCTTTGTCATTGTGCCGCCACAGGTGCTGAATTCTATCAAATCATTTGCTTGGACAAATCGATGTTTGTTAACGTTAGCTAGATCAGCTTACCATGCAACAAATAATGCTGACAAGTGTTTCTTGCAGTGTTAACAGGTGTAATTCATGACAATAATTATGGCTGCATTCCATTCAGGTACTCCATTGCCAGGGCCTTCATACTTTTCATGTTATTTCTCGCTGTCATGGTTATTGGCCCGGCTAAATGGAATGCAGCTATCATTAATGTAATTAGTTACACCTGTGCTTTTCCTGCAACGGCACGTCGAAATGTTTGCTGTGGGGAAGGTGTATGGGAAAGTGTCAGAGGTTTAGTTCATTGTCGAAAACATGCTCCAGTATTTCCTCAGACTTTGAAAGAATTAAACAAAGTCCAAGAGGCATCTAAATGTTCTCCAGCAGATACATTGTTTAGAAAGCTTGAAATCTGTGCAGCCATTGAGGTAACAAAGCAGCAACTGGTATTGATCAGCAACACCTGCAAACCCCTGCTGATATATCAGTAGTTATACTGAGCACAGACCCAGTTAATTACACCTTTGTAGGGGGTTTCATGCCTGAGTAGTTGTTTTTCACATGTTACACAAACATGAACATGAACATGAACATGAATCGTACTCAAGATCGCCTTTTCATATGCAGTTTGTCAATCCATTCCCTGTGTTACCTCTCACAGTAACAGCTCACCAGCTCTTAACCTTAGTGGAGAACATGCTGGCTTATTAACATTAACTTTAGCTTGCCTTGTTATGAGCTAGTAACTAGCATCGAGTGGTCCGGACCATTCAGAAGGACAGATGGCGAGGTCCTTGAGTGCCGTTCACAACAGTGGCTTTATTGCAGTCTTCACTACAAAACAATAAACATGGCCTTCTCATGAGGTTAAAGAGTAGCCCTGAGCTCATCTACACACTTAATTCTGCTGACTATCATCACTTTTTGCTTCCCAAGAGAGCTGCTTCCATTCACATACACACAAAGCACACGTCACACCCTCACAGGTTATCCACAAGGCCACCAGCCCTAAAAGAGTGAGCTGGTAATGGCTGGTGCGGTTCCCCACAGTGTTCACATTAATCAAACAAGCTGGACTTTGGGGTGTACTCGGATCCAAGTCCCTGATGTGAAAGCCTCCTAAATGCTGACTTAGCTTCATTACAATGCAGTAGTTGCCAATTAGAAGTTGCCCTGAGAGTTACCCTGTGTATCACTGCCTCTAGGAAAGTCAAATGGAAAAAGAAAACCCTACCACCTCCATCTATCTTTACTCCAGTGAGCGATCACAGCCACCATCTCGTAAACACACACACTCGTAAACATGTAAACACTATGGGGTATAAACATTCACAAGGTCAGTTTCACCCGCATAATCATTGCTAAAGCATCCAAACAAAGCAGGCATGCTGCAGCGAGGGGACACTGTTACGTAAGTTAAATTAAACCAGAGAGGATGACGTTGATGCCAAAGCACAAGTATGAGCTAATTGCTGATTTGTTGCGCAACACGGGTTGAAACTGCCGTGCACCTGACTCACTTCTTTGATGTTAATGAAATACTGCTGGCCCACTGGGTTCTTCACCCTGCACAAGGGCACAGCGGCCCCTGTTATGACATGGAAACAGTAATTTTTTTCAGGATGAAAGTGAGCACGGCGCGGGATAGACAAACGTCTCACTCTCTTTCCATTTATCTAATCTATCCACACACACACACACACACACACACACACATGAATGCATCTTCAGAATTTCATGTGGAAATGAACCAGGTTTTTGAGTTGCGATAACCATCTTGCTGTAATGATAGTCATGCCATGCATTTCTACAGCTCCTCCATTCACAGGTGTCTTCATCTCTCTCACTCGTCGTGTCTGTCAACACGCAGATGAATCACCGATTGGAGGAATTCATTGGACTTGAGCAGGATGTTTGGGAACGCTGGAAGGCCTTGTTTTCATCCTAGTTCCATCGAGGTATCCAGGCTTTGCGTGCATTTTGGTGATAGATATGCCTACAATGGATGCCAACAGCAATTGAGGCGGGAAGAGTGAGAATGAGTGGGAATGCTGGGAAGGGGCGGAGACAGCGACTGGAAAAACACCACAGAAGTGATGTTACGGATCTGTGGGGAGCAGATATCGGATATTTAGAGGTTGGATTGGGAAATGGCTCATTTGAGGACCTCAAACACCTGCGTGCTCATCACATGTGAATGTGAGTTTTAAAAATAAAAGAGGGTTTAACTCATACTCGTGATTCACAGCTCAGTTGCTTTGGCAGAGTTCAAGGGCTGTGATTTGGAGTTGTGCGTTCACCCACGCCCCGTCACATCACACACACTCTTGGGTAAACGCACATGCTCACTGTAAAATAAGAAAAGAAAAGAAAAGAAAAAAGAAAAGAAACAGTAAGATAGCAGATTCAAGTCTGAAAATAACTTTGAGAAATGAAACACACCTTGGCTGGAGTCCCGCTGCATCCACACCCACCCCCCTGACACACACATTCATTAGCAAAATCAGTCAGTCTGTGAAAGATATGAGCTACCTCCAAGTGATGATGAATAGAGTGCAAGCTACCCTGAACTTTATAATTATAATGATCACACACAGCTGTAATTCTCACCCGACACACTTAACACTTCAGCTCTGTCTTGCTCGGCTGGCATAGACACGCCACACCAATAAATATGCATTCCTGCTCCCCTCTCTGCAAAGATTAAAGGCCTGTTTTATGTGTACACCACTCTGGAGCTGACGTGTCTGTGTCTGCTTTTATCAGCATACAGTATGGCTGTACAGTGAGAGACATAGTCATAGTTAGAACTGACTTACAAAATAGTTCAGATGTACCCCCAACAAAAGGTACATCTGAAGTGACCAAGGGGTTCATGTTCAACTTAAAAAGAAAAGAGAAATATATTAAAATTAGAAAAAATCCATATATATCCATCCACATAGCAAGCAAGCAGAGCCATTAAACAGTTAGCTAAAATTTATATTTAATGGTTTGCTCAAAGAAGCCTTGTGGATAAATGATTGAAATAGTAATATTAAAGGATAAGCGGCTTAAATAGTTAGTACATTTTTGACGTATGGTGAGCTAGATGTTAAAACAGTGCAAACAGCTGGCTAAAAGTAATGGATAAGTTAACATAGAATAATGAGTGGTTTAAATGCTGTGTATAGTTAAAAGTGGATAAATGGATGAATGATGAAATAGCTAAGGGCTGATGCTAGCATGGAGGGAGCTTGGTTATATAAAGAGCACTGGATAAAGTGTTTGAGGTGGGGCCTTGTTCATTCCTATGAAAGCTACTCAGTGGCGCATGAAGACAAAATGGTTCAACTGCCACTTACAAAGTTACCTGATGATCAGCGCTGCTTCCGCGACACTGAACCCACAGATTTATTTATTTATTTGTTTATTTGAATGGGACAGTGCACATTGATGAACATGTTAAAACATGTAAAGATGCCGGATTGTAGCTTGATGCTAATTTCCATCTGTAGTCCCATTAACATAAAAACAAATTAAGACAGTACAACATTTCACAGTAAGAAAAAAGGAGCAGTAGCAATAAAACAAGCACTAACAGTGAAAAACACATTGAAAAACACAAACCATAATATACAGACAGACAGATAAATTGCAATACAGATTGACTGTGGGTGGAGAGCTAGCCCACAGGTAGGGAGACCATAAGAGTTTCGTTTTGAAGAGTAAAGTGCATAGGTGCTGGGTAAAGTGTCAAGTGCTAAAGTGCATGAGTGCCAGATGAAATTGCACAATGCCCTAAGGTGCCAGATGAAATTGCACAATGCCCTAAGGTGCCAGATGAAATTGCACAAAGCCCTAAAGTGCACATCAGTTTAAAGTGCCAGTTTGTATTGCACGAGGCCCAGTACACTCAGTTGCACATGCAGAAGCGTGTAATTATTGCACTAAATGTGATACATAAATGTATTATGTAAACACTACTGATGAGAAAAAATCATACACAAAAGTATTGTGTAATTTTTGTATACATGTAACGGAAAAAGAAAGAAACTCTGATGATGACCCAACAATTGCATTGCATTACAGGTTACAGGTGGTCGCATGTTTGATTTTCTAGTAACCATGCTTTCAGCTTCCTTGAAAGTGCTAAGAGTGGTGCTCTCTCTGATAATGACTGGGAGGTTATTCCAGCTTTGCCCACCTTTTATGGATAGAACATTCTGACCAAAGGTGGTTCTTCTGTGTGTAATTTCACAGTCACCTCTTGTGCCTGACCTAGTACCATGTCCTGTGAGTCTTTTTTTATGGATGAACTCTTTGACAGGAGCTGGTGCTGGTCCGTGTAAACATTTGTATATGAAACAGGCATTTTTGAATACTTTTAAATTTTCAAAGTCTAGAAATTTGTGCTTTTCCAGGACCTTACAGTGATGATGGGAGTTTGGTTTCCGGTCAAATATCTTTACTGCTCTGTTATACATCTGCTCTATGGGTTTTAAAGTTGAGGTGCTTGCAAACGCCCAGTTTGTGAAGCAGTATTCAATATGAGAGAGAATCAGGCTGAAAAGATAGGTTTTAGCTGCATCATCTGTTAAGAAGGGCCGAATTTGTCTAAAATTTAATAGATTAAAGTTTACTGTGTTTCTGACTTTTTTAATGTGTTTCTTGAAAGTCAGGTTTGAGTCCAAGACGACTCCGAGGTATGTGAAGTGGGAGACCAGCTCTAATTCCTCCCCGTCAAGAAACACATTGGACCTTTTGATGTCAGTAGGGCGTTTGCTGAACATCATGCACACTGTTTTTTTTGTGTTTAACAGCAGGCAGGTGTTTTTCAGCCAATGTTGTATGTTGTGCAGCGCATCCGTGAGCCTTAGAGAGATGTCTTTTGCTTCATTTCCATAAGTAAAAATGACCATGTCGTCTGCATACATTTGTGCATTAAAATCAGTACATACATTAGGCAAATCATTAATGTACAGTGAAAATAGCAAAGGTCCAAGAATCGATCCTTGTGGGACACCAACTGTGTTTTTAAGAAAGGGGGATTTTACACCATTTACCATGACACACTGTTCCCTGTTCGACAGATATGACTCAAACCATTCCATTGTTTCAGCTGAAAAGTTAAAATATGTTAGTTTTCTCAGGAGGACTTGGTGGTCTACTGTGTCAAATGCCTTTCTGAGGTCTAGGAACACAGCACCCACATGCGATGTTTTATCCAACATACATTTTACCTTTTCTAAAAACACACAGTTAGCTGACTCAGTGGAATGGTGGGGACGAAAACCAAATTGCATCGGGTGGAGTGGGTTAAATCCCTTATCTAGATGTTCAATTAGTAGTTTCGATACCCATTTTTCAAGCACTTTGGATAACACCGGGAGAATACTGATTGGACGATAGTTGGCAACTGATGTTTTGTCCCCTGATTTAAAAACGGGCGTCACCGTGGCTATCTTCCAGGATGGTGGTACTTCCCTTGAGGTGATTGACTGATTTACTAAGATAGTTATCGGTTTTATCAGTGCATCAGAGCTCAAGCACACTCGAGACCTCTGTCGGCCAAACCAGCTACTTCCAGTTTCAGTTAACGTGAATGATGATAAAATGATCAAATATGATAAAATCCTGCAGCTCTTTTAGACTTCCCAATTGTTATCAAACAATTGGTTAAAATTCTGATGGTGGAATGAATGATTTTAAAGGCTTATGATGTTAAAAAATGTACCCACTGATTTACATACGTCTCTTTCACCATGTAAGTCAATGGGAAAAAGCCTTTTTGGTCCACAGGCCATCACTTGAAGGTGTAATTACACTGTTTGGCCACTAGAAAATTGGCTTCAAAGCCTAGCACTCTTTCTGAGGGCCTGGTCAATGTTAGAACTGATACTACAGATGTATAGATGAGGGACATGTTTTTGCTGATCCCAAGTGTGAAGTGTTGTTCGTACTGGAGGAAAGCCGACAGAAGGTCCTCAACCGTGGGTGCGGACCCCTCTGTCCACCTGCCAGGTTTTCCTCAGGTTTTCTAGAGGAGGAGCAAAACATAGCTGGGGTTGATGGGACTTGCTGGGGGCTGCTCAGGGGTTGTGGGATAAAGCCATGTGGCTGAGAATCAAGCCAGGGCCCCAGGAGCATGTTGGAGTGTTGATTTTCACCACAGCCATGAAGCTTTTGTACAAATCATAGTCATTTTATCACAACGTATTGTAACATAATAGAAACTCTTCACAGATGTTTTGTTTATAAAACTCTGGAGGCTTTACCAGGAGAGGCAGTCGTAGCTGGTGTGAAGAGGGCCAGGGCCCGCAAAGCATGTTGGAGAACCAGAGAGTGTGCAGGATGTCTGCAGGGTCTGTGTCTCCCAGTGTCCACCACAACCCTCCATATGGAGTCACCAACATGCTCTGCGGGCCCTGGCTCTCCTCTCACCCGCTCTGAGTGCCTCTCCAGCCCCGGTAGAGCCTTCAGATTTCTACAAACAAAACATACAGAAGAGGTTGTAATTTTCTGATAAATTAAACTCTCCACTACGATAGCAGAAAAAGCTTTGTGGCTGTGCAAAATCAACACTCTTGTATTGCCTCGCGTAAACATAGACAGCTGATGACATAACCAATCACAACAGAGCACACAGCAGCACATCCCTCCCGTGTCCCTGCAGACCGTCCAGTCTAGCAGCAGCTGTATCGAATAAATGGCTGAGTTGTAAAACTGCCTTTCAGTATGCTAGAACTAAAGCAATCTTTGGCTCATGATGGGCGCCGTCAATGATGAAGTAGACTCGTCAAGTTCAGCTGTCTGGAGATTGATAGGATCGTACATTCAATAATCTAACAGTTGACAGTAACTTAGGTGACAAAGTGAAATTGTCATGAGTACAAATACAGTGAAGACTAAGGATGACAGTGCTTTTGTAATAACAATACAGAATCGATGTGCTTAGTGTCAAACATACTCTTGATGGCACTGAACAGCAGAGAGGACAAACCACAAGGCAAGATACTCGACTTTTAAACAGCCTTTACACACATTGTGGTCTTATCAAAGACATCCCAGAAGCTTCCCGAAAACAAGCCGACATGCCAACACGGCTCACTCTCCCTCTCCACTACCCACAATCCTTATCTGGAAAGTAAATAAGGGCTCCCATCCTGTCTGGAGGGGTTTTGTCTCTTTCTACACTGAGGTCTGTCTGCCAACCATCCTTAAAACGTGATCAGAAGAAAGGAGGCAGTAAGGCAATGTATCTTGTACAAGCCAAACAGAAGGTAACTATCAGTGTTTGGGATCACGAGGCTCATTTATGAAAATGTTGCATGAGATTTTCCAGGATTTTTGGAACCTTTTGGAGAAAATGTCTTGTAGGGATAAATTCTTGGATATACAGTATATTCCAAGATTCGTGGAACACTTACAATAAAAGGTTGTTTCAGGTCGGAGTCCTGAAAAAGATATCGGCGCAAGACAAAAACTGAACTCTCTAGCTTGTGTTTGGCATCAAATTTGCTTATAAGAATTTTTAGGGGGGGCATTTCGATGACGACAAAAACCTATATCTCATACTCAGCTGTCGACTGAACAGACTTAAAGTTTTTCGTCATTCTTCATACTCATTTATCCTCATATTTACCTCTGCTCTTGAGGGAAATGGTTGAGGATTTTCACATTTCTCTGCTGCCGCATTCACAGACAACTAAAAAAAAAGAAGAAACAATTACCAATTCAACCGGCTGACAAAACCCACTCCAAGTCTTTTGTTTCCTAAGAAGCTCAACCCTCATAAGGAGGTCATAGCTTTTAGACTTCCATTCCTGGTATTTTCTGTCTAGGGATTGCGGTGGTGAAGCAAAACATGAAGTTCGTTTGAGTTGCCAACTGGAGAAATGAGCTGTAAACACTTGCATGCCTCTCATTTATACATTGTGAGTGGAGATGCCAGAAAACAATTCAATTAATCTTTGGCAGAGGGCAGGAAGACTGTAGAGGACAGGATATAAACACACACACACACACACACACACACAGGGAGAAAGACAGAGAAGAGATAGATTAGGAGAAGTAAACAATCATCATGAAGAGAAAACGTGCCACGGAAGCCACCCTGTAACGGACGAGGACCGCATAAACAGAGCGGCTGCTAAAATGTTGGCAGGGAAAGCATCACTGATCAATGGTGGGAATCCAGTTGTAAACACTGTCTATCAGTGGAAGGAGAGGAAGGATCGCTCTGCGGTGCCAAAATGTGTTTGTGTGCATGTGATTACTGGCCTGTGTGTGTTTCATTTGTGAACGTCCATACACATCCATGTGTACGGGAGAACAAGGTTGGTTTGTCACACATTTACTTTCATTGCCATCCCGTGAAATCTGCATCCTGAATGGATTTCCTCACAATGTGTTATGGAAGCTTAAAACGTCAGGTAGGAATGAAGTGACCTTACTTTGCCTAAGCTTGTTCTGATTAAAAGCAGGCTGTTGTAATGCACTGTTTTTATGTTTTCCTATGAAAAGTAATGCACTAAAATTCATATCCCATGTAATCATGAGCCAGTAGTTGTTGCATAACACATGTATTTGGGAAGGCTGGAATCATGTGACCAGTGCACTGATGGGTTTAAAGAAGGAAGCAGTTAAATAAGGTGACAGTTTGGGGTAGTGGATTTTCCCCGGCGACTTTCCCTAGGAGTTTGGAACCATGCAAACTTGGTGCCTATAGCTAACCTCTGTAACTTTACAAAAAACCTGCCTCTGTCCAGGTTGCCAGCTGGTGCATGATTAACCAAACAAATCAAGGCGATTAAAGATACTCAGGTTGACACTTGTTTTATTACCAGCTTACAGTACATTAAAAGCAAAAGAAGGCCATACTCTGTAACTTTACATTAAGCATGTAACTTTTCATTTGGTTTGTGCAACCTGGTCTCATTCTGAAGTCGTCAAATACTGGTGCTTAGGCAATGACTTTCAGCATCAAAAACTGATGAAAAAAGCAGTCCTTTCACATGAGCATGATAAAAAGGCCGGTCCCTGTTATCGTGTAATGGTGCCCGGTGGTGTTAGGGGGAACTGCGGCAGGACAACAACTCAAGTTAAGGGAGCAAAAACATACTTCCTGTT